TTTTGGGATGGGATTTGGGGCTTTTAATACATATGTCACGCTGGTTGGAATTACGGGGATTGCAATTTTGCTGCTGGGAGACAGGGAAAAAAAAAAAAAGGCCTAATTCTGTACCGTAGTTGTCCGGCCTGGCTTACAGAATACGGTAAGAAATTACCACATCGACATCTACAAAACCAAACCCCAAACTTCTTTAAAACTGGCCATTTAAGAATACGTGGAGCCTCTGTGATACGGACGCGAGACCTGACCGCGTGGTACACAGCCAAGCTCCAAAGAATAACTCCGTTAAGCCTGCAGGCGTGTTTTCTTCCGTTGGCAGTTATTTTTTTTCCCTACCCCCAAGGGAAACTAATGAGAGACGCCTCTTCGGTTGTTAGATCTTCAAAACCGTGCTACAGTGTCAGCGTGCGAGTATAGGACAGACGTAGGCGACGACATTTTACAACTTGGTAAAATACAGTCTCCCTGAAAAATAACAGTTTTTAGTACACATCATCATCCAGCCTGGTCACCCCGGTCCTGTTTGCAACTCTGCCGCTGGCCCAAAGCGGGACTTTTAGCAGACCAGTCACATCTGTTTCCCCCTCTGTAAGCTGGCAGCTACCGATACTTCTCGTCCTCATACGGCTGAGGACACACGGAATCAAGTCAAGCTCCGGTGCAGAAGCAGAGATGTCCAGTTACATCACGGACTAACTTTCCTGTTCGTAAAGTGCGTGGTGTAATTAGCAGGTACCAAAAGGAAAGGCGGACTAAAAATGAGCCCTTTGAAAGAGATACAGAGTGAGAGCAGAATGTCTTGCACTAAGGTTATGTATTTAACAGTTTTACATGAAATATTTATATATAAAAACTTTGTTAAGTGCTCTTCTCCAATTTAAAAATCTAAAGAATTCAAAAATAAGGCATTCAATATTTGAAAAAGTACAGATTTACAAAATGTGTATATTCTGTCATGAAAACTCCACACCAACATTATACACTTGGAAAAAAAAAATACAAACAGGATATATTACAAATTTATGTAGCAATAACTTAGTTCATACCATGCAATAAAAAGTACGTTAATCGAGATACACAAGCTTTTAAGTTTCCTAAACTGGAGGGCGTAATTTTGTTTGCAAATGAGTTTTTATGCAGATTCTTAGAACTGTGGCACTTGAAATTTCTGGTAGCCTTTCTATGGAGAGTTAAATTGTACATAATGATTATGAGGATGGAGAGCAGCAAAGCAGCTGTTACGAATCATTCCAACTTTGTTCGACAATAGCTGAAACTCTTTTCTCATATTCACGCTTGTTCTCCTGATAGAGTTGTGCCGCCTGGCTGTTTGCTGGACTGTTTGGATTAGGCTCATCAAGCAGAGACTGTAAAAAGGGGAAAACAAAACAAATCAGGGAAAAATCAACTTACAGCTTTCAAATCACACGTGTTTCAGGAGGTGGACGTG